AGTTCTATGTTTCATTAATAATAACACTGTACGTTTAAATATTTAATAATTAAACTTATGTTTTATTAAATTTGAAATTCGCTATTTCAAGTTAACAAACTAAATATGTTATATAATTTACCGATGACGAATAGAAACGTGTGCCTTGTACATAGATAAAAAGTAGGTACCTATACCGTAATGTATAAGTTTACTATTCAGTATTCTTATATTATATTATAAGAACACGTGTTATAAACAAATAAAGTATAAATAATTGAGTGATCAAACTATAAAAACATTATGTTAAGATCGATTATTGTCAAACAAGTACACACCAATTGGTTTTTCCAATGTCATCAAGTTTCTCCAACTGTTCTTTATTATATGTAATTTCTACCTGCGTATATTTATAAAAAAAAAATGGCTAGATTCATTATATAAACAGAACAAAATGTATAAAGTTCACATTAATAAAATTATGTTCTGTAGAATTTATACGTACATAATATATTATGAGGTCTGAAAAAAGGTTTTTGTTTTCTTTAAATGGCGCTTAAAATGGATTTTTATTAAAGGTTATATTATAGTTAAAATGTCAAGAGTATTACCATTATTAATGTGAAAATAGAACATAATAATATGTTAATGTCTTTAACGTACGTATTATGGTTTTATATTTTATTAGAAATATTAAAATATTATATTATTTACAGTTATATCTATGTGTGAGGTGGTTGCATGTATATATTATAAAGGAATTAGGTAAACTATATTAGCCAGTTATTTTTTTGGCTGATAAAAACACTTTGATAAGTCTACCATAATCGTTTTATCAATTATTACCACGTTTATTAGGTGACTAAACTTAAATCGTTAGCTAAATTTGAGACTAACTCTATAATTTATATTAATCAACAATGTAATTTTATTTAGCAAAAAATAATGTAAGTACAAGCAAAACATTGTTTTTGTTTGAATTTTGAGCCAAACATAATTTATTGAATCGTTTGACTTACATCAATTATTTTATAATTTAATATTGATTATAATAATATAACTTATAATTATTACTTTTAGAATATTGTTTTTTCAGGTTTGGTACAAGATACTAGTAAAGATTACATATAAGAATAAAAATTTGAAATAATTTTCGAATTTTAACATTGGTACTATTTATTAGATAACTTGGAAAGATAGAATAAGAGTTTAAATATCTCAATGGGCTTATAATTAATCTTAGGTGAAAACCCAAATCATAATATAACAATTGATTATCGATTCTACTTCTACTCACGTTAATGATTCATTATTCAATACAATAACAATATTTATCCGCTAATTAAATGTGTACTTTTACATTTTGAGATATTTCATTCATACGACATGTCCTCGAAATAAAGTAGGCAATTATAAAAATGTACGTATTGTACTTACACACTTTTATATATTTTTCTAATGAATAAATTAATTTTTATATGGTTTCGAAGGACTATTATCAATCTGCAATGATTGAGTGTAATTTTTTTCCTTTCAGATTATTTTCAATACAATTTTTTACTCTACGTATACTATAGCTAATATTTCTCGTTTTGGGTATGTAAGTATAATCTCAATTTGCATATTCCTACAGTGCAAGTGAATACTTTAACTTCCTACTACCATATATACTAAATACGAGTATAATAATTTTTTTTTCATGTAACGCATGTAAATTAATAGTACCATCGTATTAAAAAATTTAACAGTAAGATAATAGTAGGACGACGAACATCCACTACATAATAATAATTATATAAACTTAAAATTAGTACAAAATGATAGTATCCGGTTATTTCTTGTATAGGTAGTAGGTACACCATATTATATATTATTAATACATACATACATATCGGTACGTATAAACTATATTACACAATACACTATTCGACTCGCGCAATAATAGACTTATCATGTGTGATAAACAAAAACTAAAATAAATACGACTAGCAGTTTTTCAATAAGGAAGTGAATGCTACTGATCTTGTGTTGTAGTAAATTGTAGTATAGGTCTCAACTGTATATTATTATTTTTTCTCCATAACGTAGGTAGCAAATGAAAACGAACACAACACAAATATAATACCGATAACAACACTAGTTATATCGGCTAAACCTATACGGTTCGTTCTCATTCCACGATGTTCTGTTCATACTACTGTTCTCGCGAAAACCAGAACAATATAATGTAACATGGATATTGGTGTTGAAGGTTTCATATAAAAATAATACCATGCTAATGACGTCACGACTATATTTCATTGTTTCAAACCTGGAAGGTCGTTCACCGATCTCTTTGTCCAATCGTTTGAGAATACCTAAATGATATTGTGTAGAAGAGCACATTATTATTTTTATATTTTTTTCTAATTATTTCCTTTTGTTGTTGTGTTGCTGATAAAAAATATGTTCGAGTGATGTATATGTGGATCACATATTATTACTTTTTTAATTTTTCTAACTATTTCCTTTTATTGTTACATTAACGATTAAAATATGCATGATAGTACGCTTTAATATTATTAATAATAATAATAATGGTCATAACAATAATAATAATAATACACCCTTATACGTAGCCACGTAGGTATAATGGATTAAGATGCGTGCCCCATATTCAAATTCACTTCAACACTGAACTAGTTATTTGGCTTCCGAAGCCGTTCAATTTTTTTATTTTATGGTTTATAGGTCAATTGTCAAATATTGATGATATAATATCAACTACCAAGTTTTGTGCAAATATATTTATCACAATTATCATAAATTCCTCCAAAATAATTTTACTAATGAGCTATTAGATACACGTGTATTATTCATAGATAATAAACTTTGTTTTTATCGCGGACTAATGCTGCAAACTTAATTTTGTATTATTATTCATACATCTTAGATTGAATTTCAATACTTCAGTCATCTCACTAAATATTATAGTGTAGTTGTAACTACTAAATAAATACTAAAAAAAAAAATTAAAAAAAAAAATCGTTATGGCAAACGGGCAATTTATAAAACAATTACAGTATATTGATGTTTAACAATTAATGTCTTAAATTGCTTAAATCTTAAAAGTGATTATTAAATACTACAATTGCCGCCATTTATGGCAAGACGGTTTATGTCCTTTAATTTTTTTTACACCATAGTCTTACATTCAATAAATTTAATTTCGGAACATTTAGTCATTTAATTAGGTAAAGGAATCCCTTTACTTTGCAAGTATAATATTAATTTAAATAATTTAGTTGATTTTAACAATTATAAATATTATATTAAGAATATTTTTACTTCTTTTTAATTTATACTTATTTTATTTAAATCTTAGTATTGTAAGCTTTTATTATTGTTGTTGTCGTTGCTAAATAAATATTATTATTATTATTATTCAACTTCGTTCCCGGCTATTGTCTATAAATACTTAATAACATGCTATAGTAAGTTAACAACTTATGAACAATTTTCATTACTTTTTGATTATATATATGTGTATGTGTGTGTGATGTGTATGTGTATGTGTGAAGGTATAAAGTATTTGTATAAAAAAGTGAAATAATATGTGGATTAATATCTTATTTGTAACGTAATTCAATGTATATTACTTTCAACTTTATTATGTATCTATGATTACTCAATGATAATATTACTCAACGTCACAATATATGTTAGTATAATATTAGATATATCTAATAATGTACAGAATACACACACGTTTATAACATTCGCTGTGATTTGAATTTATATCCTTAATAATTTTAATTTGTTGAGGCAAAAAACATTATATGAGATTTTATTAGGTTACAGAACATAAAGCCAAATGTTAGGTTTATAATCATAGTATATTATTTATTATAATACATATTATATAGTAGGTAGAATTTTCATGTATTATAATAATAATTAGGAAAACCTAATACTCCATATGAATTAAAATAAATAAATTGGTAAATTTATATTTTATTTATTGTAATAGTTAAATTATATAATTGTTTAACTAATATATAATATTGTAACAATGTATCAAGTAGAAGTTTTAAATAAAACGTACAAACAAAATTAAATCTATATATAAAAAGTTCACTAATAGGTAGTGTGTCTATATTGTCTATATTATATTTGTTCAATATTTAACAAAATTAAATTGCTTTGAAGTTTCAAAAAATCTATCTAGAGCATAAAAAAGTATAAAAATATGTATTTATAGTTGAATATTTATCTTAAGTATTAAATTGGAAAAATAGTTCCCATCTATATACATATAAACGCTAAAACACATTATACAACTCAATATTTTCCATTAGATTACTATCGTGTTTACATACCCACTCCTATTCTCTGTGTATACTTCTAAAATGCTTCTACCCATATATATAACCCATCGAGAAAATCGAACAAACGCATAACTTGTAATTTTATTGCTTTTTGAGTTTTGTACAAGAACAAAGCAATAACTACAAAAAAAGATAAATACTCAATATTATGTGTTGTGTAGGGAAAAGGCTGTAAAGTTGTTTACCTCTTTTACTGAGTAGGTATCAAACTATATACTATTTTTAAGCGTATTTTTAAAAGAGCGCTTTATTTTTTACGTGTATTATTTCAAAACTCATAAATAATAATAAAAAAAATGTATTCGATCTTTCTAAACTTAAACTGTAATGGTAATATGACCATATATTATAAAATATATAGAAAGATAAGTTCTTAAGTGTATTTTTTCCGCATTTACTTTACAAAGAATTCGTAAAAAAATATCATTTAATGTTTCCGCGCGTGTTGTGTTGTTGATGGATTTCCATAACTCCGTGATGATCTTTACATATCGTCGTTCAATCAATCAATGTGTGTGTGTTTGTAATATTTTCCCTGTTTATTTATCTGATATGCGCTATGATGACGACCTTCATAATGCGCAACATCACATCATAATATTGTTGTATGTTAAATATGTGTCAAATTAAATCGAATTTTTTTTGTTTCCATAGGACGTTCAAAATGTTGCTGACGCCAGACCAAAAACTATTCGCTGATGACGTGGTGTTCGAGGGCTCGGGTGATCGTCCAATACCGTTTGATCCAGGCAAAGCTTACGTCGGCACATTGGAAGGTAAATAAGATTTAAATCGTTTGGCATGTATATATATATAAATATATACATTATTTTATTTAAATAAAGCTCATCCGTGTTGGATGATTCTGGTGGTGGTTTATTATGTCTATATTGGTATACCTACGCTAAAAATGTACATGAAATATCCTGTGTTTATTGTTTGAATAAATTAATAATGACAAATACACATACGTTATCTGCGTCTCTCCGCCATTGACCGTACTCACTCATTTGTTCATACTGTTCATAGTATTTCAATTTACTAATATTTGTCGGGTCAGAACTATCGCCGCAGTAATTATTTATGGTCTATCATATAATTTATATTATATTATTATGTTGCCTGGTTTATTATATAATATAAATAGTATATACTTATAAACACGTAAACCGGTATTAAAATAAATAAAAATAATAATTTTAAATAATTTTATTTTTAAGTAAACTTCTTTACTTTTCTTTAAAATAAAATAATATAAGTGGAAAATATGTTTGTTAAAAAAAAGTACTGCAAAAATACTAACCAACTTAATCTATTTTAATAGAATTTTTATTCGGACAATTTACTATGTATAAATAGATTAATAACATCTATATACATATATATATATATATATATATATATATATATAAGGGTTAGAATGAAGTTATCTAATACTATACAAATTATACAATAAAAGACAATAACTAATATACGTAAACTTTTTAAAATATTAAAAACAAAATGTATTACTAAAAGTTATGCTGCTACAACATAGAAATATTTTTAAAAGATTTTTGAATCTTAACGAATTTTTAATAACTTTTATAAACTTATACTTTTTTATGATAAAATTTACATCTAATTTTCACATATGACATATATGCTAATCATTCCTAATATGATTAGTAAATTAATTTTATGGCTGGTAATTTCTAGTTCAGTAAATTTTAGTACCTAATACACTCGTAATTTAACTTTCCAATTTCGTTACCATCAGAAAATTCATAATAAAGTATCTCAAGGTCTCTGTTTTGAAGTTTCAATTCAATTCACGAGTCTTCTTCACACACTGTTATCTAATAACTTGGCTTTAAAGTGTATTGGAAAACTAAAGCTGTGGTGTAACAAAATACTAGGAAGAGGGAAAATATTAAAACCATATATAACAAAGCTTTACAAACTATGTACCATTTGTTTTACGTTCCATACAACTTTATTTATTGTAAACATCATATAGTACAATTTCAAACGTCGTTCAAAATGAATTTCATTATTAATAAGCTTGTGTAATTAAGTTTTTTTAGTTTCCCTTTTCCTAATGATTTTTATTTAACTTTATTAATAACGCACATTAATAATTAAAAGTGTGAAAAAAATGATTTAAATATTTTTAAAACTGGAGATGAATGTTATCTCTGCAGAACAAATTAAAAATAATTTAATATTATTTTTACTCAAACTAAATATTTTAAAAACTTTAAATATTTATGGTATAATATGAAAATGTATGTTATTATTTATTACTAAAATATTTCCAACGAGTGTACTTAAACATATACAAATAGTCATAACTCATAATAAATGACGAAATTACAATAAGTTCAGATTTTTTGATAAACAAATTTCCAATCTTATTCTCAATTAAAGTTTAGTTTACGATAGAAATAATATTATATTTACAATATCGAAAGTTTAAAATTGCTCAATAACTAAACACAAATATTTCGCTGTACTTTATTTAAATAATAATTTATTGTATTGTTTCTATAATAATAGATTTATACCAAAACCAGTACAACCTATTCACACCGTTATACGTTACGTCAAGAGTATATAATAATAATCTATGATAATATATGTAATATTTTTTTGCCATACTACTACTAACAAAAAAAATAAATTTCTAATAGTGTTATAAATAAATTATAAAATATTCTAAGAAATATAGACGGTGTATCACACTGTTCTACTTCTCAGAATAGTTTGTCGTATAAAATGATTATTGTACCGGTATCAATTTTGTGAGTGGTTATAATTATGGTTAGGAGGTTAGTTATTGGTAAATTGATATATATTTTACTCAAAATTTTGAAATGACGCCCTCTAGTTACGCTTGGGTTGATACACGTTTAATTAGATTTCTCTTCAATTCAAAATAATTATTCTAAAAAGAATTTATTATTCTTAAATAGACATTTGTTAGGTACGCTTTATGTTTATTAGATTATAGTTAATGTATTTAAATAGATGAATAATTTTAATTTACATATCGTTTTGAATTTATATTTAATTTTAATAAACGTGTTTTGTATTTATGGCAGTATATTTGTGCTTAAATTTTTGATTTGGCGCTTACATAAATACATATTTATAAAAAATTATATTGTACCAAACAAACGAGAAACGTAACTCTGATTGGGCTTCACGCGAATGATTTGTACTATATATGTACAATCACTGCAATGGCGGCGATGGCGATAGGCGTACGCATATAAAGAAGTATTTCTCTGCGGGTTACATATCGACGGCGAACTTATTCGTAAATTTATGTGCCGGTAAATCAATTTGCAGTTCGTGTGCAGGCCATTGCCACCACCATCGCAGCCTATTCTTTTTGTACGATATAGTCTTTATATATTATTATTATTATTACCCATGGCAGTGTGCCGTGGCCGTCTTACGATTTATTTATTTTTCTTCATCCAGGGTTTTCATTGCAAGCAGCTGAATCGTTTTGCCGACGAGTCGTTTATCATGTATTGTTCTTTATAGTTAAAAATATTACATGTCCATATATATGTGAGAGTGTGTTTCATGTGGAATCGCTTAAAACCAAACGTTGTGCCCAGTATTCCATTATAACAAACACTTCTGTGTCCGTTACGTACGATGAAACTTCATAATTAATGGTTGAACTGTGGACCATGAAATAATCACTATTGTGATATTATTATTATTATTATTAACGCGTCGAGCTATTTAAACGAAATATTATTAACAGCTGCAGACGGCTATACGCGTGCTGTGTTTGTTGTTTGCTTGCATATTATGTGTATATAACTATATAACTTGTATACATGAGTGTGTGTGTGTTTGCTTATGTTAGCGAATGAATACGAGAGGGATAGAGGATATGTTTTTATCCTAGTCCGTTATTAAAATGTTTTGCATAACGTATATAGTGATATGTTTATTTATCGTATAAACGCTCCGTGTTTTATATCCCTTCTCTGTAGTATATAATATTATCTTGTCCTGGAACGGCTAATCTTTGTTTAAAATTTTCAGTTATTATAGATATAGTGCGTGAAATTTTTACTAATAATTTCTACATTTATTTATTTTTTTTGCCCTGCTAAAGCTTTGCTGATTTAATGAAATATTCTTTAAGTTTTGAAATTTATGTTTTTAGAAGTTCAATCTAATGTTTGACTTTTATAAATTCCATTCTTTGAAAACAGATTATATTTTTTGTTACAGCCATTGAAATAGTAATGTTATTTGATTTTAATTAACTTAAGTAATTTTAGATAATATTTTAAATTAATTTAAAGATTTCATTCTGCTAATTTGAATAGCCATTACATCATTATTATTGTCGTTAAATCAAACATACCTATAAGCATCAAACCATGAAGTAATAAAAATATTAAAAACTATGAGTTTTGTTAACATTACTGAAATAATACAATTATATGAAAAATAAATTACATATTATTTCAAGGAATAATAGATGAACAAATAAGGTTACATATAATAGTTAAATTAATATTATAAATATATATCTATCGAATTATAACAAAAGAAAGTAGGTTAATATAATCACTCACACAATTCTATCGGAAAAAAAAATAATCTGTTCTGTAGTATAGTTTAAATTTTAAATGAGATTTGATAATTAATTAGTAATTAATCATTACATAAGTAGATATATTATATAGCTAGTATGATTTTAAGCTAAAAAACTATTTTTTGTCAATTAAATCCATTAACTCAAGTCCTACTTCGTGTGCAAATAATTATGTTTTCTTTAAGAGAGAATGGCTTAAATTTAATTTAGTATTGTAGAGTAGATTGTAGTTACATTAATGAGTCAACAAAATGTGAACTAATCTTAATGGAGTTTATAGTTTAATCGATACTTTTTTCGTTTTTTGTATAATCTCGTGTATTCAAGTAAAACCCATCAATCACAATATCGGGAGACTAATGATGTAAATCGAACATGAACCTCGGTTGGAAAAAACTTTGTTTTTAATTTGTTTAAAATATTAACAGAAAAAAACACGTAGGTTATTTAAAAATTTCATTTTTATTTATTATGTACACCCTTCAAAACATTGAGTATTTATAACAATGTCAAACTCTACATATTTCATATTATTGTTGATTAAAAAACATTGCAATTTAAAACATTTGATTTTCTTAAACTTATTAAAAATAAAGAAAACAAATAAGAGAACCCAAAATTCGTTTACTAAATAAATATATTATAATAATATTAATTTATAATTTATATTGTATTTTATAAATTGTTTATATTTTTTCATGTTAAGTCAGTCGTTGACTTATACTTTATTATGTCTTACAAATATTTTAATACACAAAAGGAATCATTATGAATAGAATAAGTATTAAGATTATACAATTAAATTGGTCGATAATTAGATATAATTTTAATTTATTTAATATCATAATATAATATATTTTTTATTTTATTGTACATAAAAAAACAGATGAATGCATATAGATTTGCATAATTTTTGGTTAACAGAATTGGACAGTTATTTGCCTTTTAAAATTTGTTGTTTATTATAAAAATAAAAGTGGTTGTACTTATTATAATTTTTGATATTGTCTTTATCGTATTTTAGTATTATTTTATGGTTTATCTATAATATTTGTATTAATATTCTGAATCAACCAAAACATAATATACTGATTTTAAAATTTTAATTATTAACTTAACAAAAATAAATTGAATCAGTGTTCTAAAAATTCAAACTTCTTAAAA